AGAGTTCAGAAGCTAATAAGGAATAGCGAACCTAGAATATAGGCAATTACTTATCACCCGCTCGCCTTAGGGTTTTCTGTTAGCTTCTCCTTCTGTACCGTTTTCTTTCCTATCTATCTCTACTAATTTCTACCTCTTAGAATTCCTCTTATTTCCGCGATAGCCTATACCAAATTCCATTAGCGTTACCCTGATTTTGAAAATAGGCGGCTCGCCTTCCGCGACACGGATAGATCACCTATATACGAAGGGCCCTACTAGGGGCTACTCCTTTCTATTATCGAGTATAACGATATATCGGCTCTATATAATGATAGCCTACACTACGCTATCTTCTTACAAAACTACGACACTAATTACCACAATCCTTTTAGTATTACTTTAGGATATCGTAGCTATGATATACTACGTACGCTAATCGAGTTTTATCTTTTAGATATATCTCTGACTAAGCCCTTAGAGAAGTATCTTAACCGCTTCTTTGTATCTCTTATTCATAAGGCTTACGCTACCGCGGATCGAGATCTGGTTTTATGGCTAATAAACTATAATCCACCGCTAGGGACTTTCCATGACCGAAGTTTTAGGCGCTAGATACCTCTATTCTGTGCGGCCGAGGCGCTAGGAGAAGTAGGTAGTCTTATAGTATTAGCTAAGGCTAGGCAAATTACCGTTACTAGGTATAAAGCGCACGAGCGTCGAGACCGTATCGAAGGTTTTATTAACTAGCTTATTAGTATAGGCTGCTCCGTGTCCGAGTCTAATACCTTAGAGAATGATTTAGAATACCGCGAACTATAGGGGGCTTCGGACAAAGTCCTAGTGCTAAAACGTACCGTTCTCGGCGTGGCTTTTCCCTATACGAGCTATACGATAGTCTCCTATCTTATTGCTAATGGAACGGACGTTCACGACCGTTAGATATAGTCTGGTTAGTGCTACGGGATTAACCATGGCGAAGAAGTAACCCTATTATATATCACGGCCCCTTTCTGGAATATGGAAGCTATATAGGCACTTATAGATTATCGTGGCGATGCTAAGATCTCGGAGATAGTGTCTATAGCTAATATTAAAGCACGACTTCCGCTTTACTCGGCCTTGACCGGTATTATAGATCGACGCGAAGAAAAGAATAATGGAGATAAGATTATCTCACGAACGACGGACACCGTTAAAACTCTGCTCGACATAAAGCCCGATACTATTAATACGTAAGACCAACACGGCGCCACGGCCTTATATTACGCGGTGTATATACATTTAGGCTACGTGGCAATTCCTTAAGCTATTAAGCTGCTTCTAACCGCTAATCCTTCTTATGATATACTGAATATCCGTAATCGCCGAGGTATAACGGCTCTTAGAGATACGATGAGGCCTTCTTTAGTGGTAGTCTAGACTAGTTAGCCGACTTAGTGAAGTCCTTCATCACGAATAGGGCCGATATATACTTATATAATAATAAGGGACTTAGTATTCTCTATATTCTGAGCAGTCACGCCTAGCCCCCTAATCTTTACCCCCTACTATACTAGACTATCTTCTTGAGACTATTAATACTAACCAGATTAATGCCGATGGCTATACTGCTTTATATTACTTAGTGAAAAATCTAGATTAGAGTGATGCTATTTAGTACGTTGTTAGTCGGGGCGCGGCTATCAATGCGGTTAATAATAAGGGAAATACTTCCCTTCACGAGGTGATGAAGGGAAAAATGCTTAGAAATGGATATGAAAACGGAGAGCTTAAGCCCCTACTAACGGGTTTTCTAAAAAGAGCACGAGATAAGTTAATTTAAGTCCTGCTCGATACTAGAGTATCTATGGATCAGACTAACGGAGCTGGCTAGACACTAGGATAGGTATTAGACTGTGTATTAGAAGAGTAAGAAAGACTAAAGCAGGAGGATAAGGCACGGCGTAATAGTTAGGGTTAGTATCTAAGTATCAGATAGGGACAGGGACGAGTGATTATTTATATTAGATCTAGTTACTAATACATTTAGAAGTCTCCCCGGGTGTTAAATTTTACCTCCTTGATATGCATGAGAAGTAGAATAAATCAAATAAGTCATCTTTAGGTATATTCTAAGTTTACCATTAACTAAGCCCCTAGACATTAATATCCAGAAATGCGTTAAGGATCGGCGATGAAGGCTAGCTTGGTAAATGTAATTTCATTATGATATTTTACGAAGTTTTGTATGTTTTAACGTCTCCTAGGGGCAATCACGCTATAAGCTACCATTTAGCGTTAAAGTATCTTAGCTATTACGTATATATATCTAGTTATAATGTTCTATTAATAAGTTACCCTCGTATATGAAGAAATAATACTGCTAAAATTATAGCCTAAGTCAAACCTAAATACAGTATATCCCTAGCGATCTATGCTCTAGCTGTCAATAGCTAGTGCTTTCTAATACTTATAATATAATATAGTCGTTAGCGTTAGCTTACTTAGACCGAAGTTTAGTGGTGTATGATTTAAGACTCTGGATTGCCCTGTACTGTATAGTGGAGGTATTCTGGTATTAAGAAATAGGTTTAGAATTGTCTGCCCTAGAGGGTCTACACGGCTTTAGATAAGGTGATCGGGACGGGCAGGAATTAAGTTACTTATTCTTTTCCTATCGTTCTTAAAGAGCAGAAAGTAATCTCACATCTCGACCGCAATTTTAAATAAATTTGATTTCCTCCATTATATATCCGAAAATCTGGAGTAACCCTACTTAGTACTATTCTTCCTTTCTTAAGTCACTAACAGCGTCAATGTTATTAAGCGTGCCCACTAGCATAAACATCAGACCGCGGAATCCCTACATTTCAGATTCGCGATAGAGCACCGACCTATAGTGGCTACAAAAACAGATATGTCTATGCTTATCCTCTGACAGGACGGCGTTAAAGATAGTGGTGCTTTTTGATAGGCCCGGGACGAGAGAGCGCTATTTCGAGACGCTCGTCAATCTAAAGCTCGTCTTCGGCACGATGAGGTTAGTGGTAGTGTATTCACCGCTGATCTTGCGGCAGCGAGCACAGTGGTATATTATCTAGAGGTAAGCCAAATAAGTAGATGAAGAAGGGGCTTTACTCGCTGTGGTTCAGAAGTAGGGATTCTTCACCTTCCTGAGTACAGCAGCATCATCATTAACGATTGTGTATTTATTCGCTGTGCAGAGACACGAACCGGTCAACATAATGAATCGTTTTGAGGATATGGTCTTTAGAGAGACGATTATCTGGAAGTCTCCGTTGACAGAAAATATAGGTAGAAATTTGAGGTCACTGATGACGTCTTCGACTCCACCACCAAACTTTAAGTGCTGAGGTCTAATCAGGTCTTCTTCGATTGAATTGGGAACTCTACCACTCTAGGCCCCGTGTTTTAATGTCGATCCATGCCTTAGAAACAGAAGACTAGCATATAATATAAACCTACTTCAACACCTGATGTTATTGGCTTGTTGAGTTCTTGTTGCCTGCTGATGGTATTCAACGCTAAAGGGGCATAAGAAGAGGGCCTGATCCATCCGTGATATGCACGATCAAACATTCAGAAAACCATTACTAGCTGCAATATACACCTTTCCTCTCTACGTTGAAGCGGCAAATTATGCTTTCTATTGATATCAGTGGAACAAAGCTTATGGCCGTTATTATTGCCGAGAAGAATGGCCGTGAGTTTGACATCAAAGGAGTGGTTTTATTGGGGTTGCCTCACAATGTAGCCTCACATGATATCTACACCGACATTATGGAGAGCCTCTTCCTCCCACAACTGCCTCACGAGAGTCAGTTGCTTGCCTCTGCGGGTAGCTCGTCATCTCTCACGCAGTCAATTCTTGATTTTGTCCTCCCGCCCTCCCTCTGTATATAGAATCCAATACAATACAGACACATTGCCTCCCTTCAGGAGAGCGCGGACGGGCCCTATCTGACGCTACGGTCTACGACCGAAGCGACAGGTGACCCGTTATGGCCGAACTACACTCTTCTTGCTCCTCTTGACAGCGTGAGGTCACCAATAAATATGTGCAATACTTTACCGCTTTAGCCCAGTTACAGGTTGAATGCGCAAACATCCGGGGCTACATGTCCTCGAGGCTCAGCCTTGAAGTCTTTGAATGCAACATGTAGCTCAAGCAGTGTTTAGAATCAGGAATAGACGTTGACTAATAAAAGAAGAGAGTAGTTATCTGAAGGTATTATTAAGCCGCAGAATGTTGCAAAGCGATCCTGATAAGAGGTTGATATATTTAGCCTACCAGCATATCTTTAGTGGCCCTAACTCTTAAGTGAGAAAATTCAAGATAATCAAAGGGTTAATTAGACGAAACAAACTTTCCCTCACCGATATTTTACGTGAATATAATATCGGTCGCACTAGCAGCGTGCCGGAAGGCTCCTCGAGAGTTAGGTCTTCGATTCGACCTTGAAGGCTAAGATTCGATTTCCGGAGTTATTCGATGTGTCGCCTACCCAGGTTACTAAGAGGGAAGCTTTAGAAGCATAGGCTACGAAAGAGGAGCCAATACTACAGGGTGTGTGTGAATTCATTTACGCTGACCCCTCGCTAAGCGATATGCAGCATACAACAACTGTAAATACATGGTTTCTGATTCACTGAGAATGTACCAAACTTCCTGAACGGTGAACTTTGAGCCTCACCTGGTAAAGCCTGTCGTGGCCTTGTTGCCATTTACAGTATTGGGCTGCCCTCATGGCGCGGCTAGAACGAGTTCCATCTAAGGCGGCCAACAGTTGTCTGCGGCTGGCTGCATCTCCACCAAAAATCGCGAGAATGCTGGCAATGCTGATTTCAAGAACCTGGACAACGACTGGGCGGCAGATACGGTCTTTGGGCGTTTCTTTTTTCGTTTCTCAAGCTCAAATGGCGACGGTCTGTTGTGGAAACGGTGACGAAGTTCTTCGATTGTAAGTGTGGGGTTAAGAGGTACGGGTTGCGGTCTAGTCGTCGGTGGCGGTGAAGATCTAGTAGGTTGTTGGAGAACAGAGGCGTAGGTACGTTGTTGGCATTTGAGGGGAGAGGTAGTTGTCGGGGTTGGTTGGATGGGTTGTGGAGGACATGGGGCTGGTCGCGATGCTAACGGTTCTGTCTCGAGTCTGGCGGGTGAGTTGGATGGGTTGTGGAGGACATGTGGCTGGTCGCGATGCTAACGGTTCTGTCTCGAGTCTGGCGGGTGACGACTCCGCAGGAGACTCGAGATCGGTTTCCGCTTGGTTCACGGGTGTAGGAGCAGTTGGAGCTGGGTGAGGTTCCGGTCGTATGTTGGATTCGAGGGCGGTGATTTGAGTAGATCGGGTTGCGGAAGAGGGCGTACCGGTATGATTAGATGGAGACGGTAGGAATGGTTTAAGGTCGTGGCAGATAACTTGCCATAAGCAGTCTTCTTTGTGTATTTTCGATAAATTGCCGGTGGGGTTTCCCTGGATGGCCTTCAGCGGGACCATGATCTCACAGGTAAAGCAACAAGCGGTGTCGCCCACTCCGGCGCGAACTTGGTGGTAGAGACCATTCTGGGCAAGTTGATGGGGCGTGATACCAGTGAGAAGCTGGCGTTGGAATGAGATAGCTCTGGCTGCGATGGTCGAGTAGGTGGTTGAGATACGAAAGAGGGGCTTCACGTTGCGTTGTGGGGTGGTTCGGTTAGACGGCGAGGTGGATTCGGTGGTGGGGTGGGAGGCTGCGAACGGGCTGGGGATGATTTTGAAAGGTTTCTGGTTCCCACCAGGGCCTGGTTGATGAGGACCAAGAGACATGGCTACACAGCCAAGATTGCCCGTGGCCAAGCCTTAACGAGTTCTTGGAACTGATGTAAAGCAGCTTCACCAGGCCCGCTTGTTCAGGCCACTGCCCTGGTTTTCGGCACGCGCATCTTTCGATGGACGCCCTCCAGATATTGAGGCCTCGCCAAAAACCTCTCACCCCAGGTGTCTCCAGGTTTGCTCCTTAAGCATGCATCATCAGCATTTCAGCTAGAACGACATCACATCCATCGCCCAGCCGCAGGTTCTCAGTGCGAGTGAGATAGTAAGACAGGTCGGACCTGCCCCACTAGGACGACACCACATTGGCTGGTTAACTTCAGGTCCTCAGTGCGAGTGAGGTAGCTATTTCTGTCTATTTACACACCGACACGCGCGTCCGTCCTCTCGGGCCACATAGATAGTCTCGTCGGGTCCTCTCGACCCGTCCGTCACTGCCATTATGTGCCACGCCCCACAAGGAGAAGTGTCCCTACTTCGCTTTACCAGCCGAGATCTCTCTCTGCTAGCCGACCGTGTCTCGCAAAGGCTGCTAAAAGTATCCCCGTTGGCCTAGCAGGATACCTCGGCCGTCCTTCACTAACCAAGCTTATGTCCCTGGCTTTGCAGCCCTCTCGAACACCCGTGGCTGTGCCTTAACGAGTTCGTGGAGGGTCGTCGCCAGACTGTGCATACCGCTTGGAAGATGCCATAGGATATCCAGATCAGAGTTGCCCGTAGCTTCGCTTTAACGAGGTTTCGACCCAGGCCATTCCATGGAGCTCCCAAACGATCTGTTCAGTCTGCTGCGCCGCCAGTTGTATTCCCCCTCGCCGCTCAACGCCATTTTGTGTGTTTCCATTTGTTCGTCTCGTCTTTCGTGTGCTATCTTCGTGGTTTTCCTCGTTCAAGTTCGTGGGCGTCTCGCGATCTCAGAGGGTGTTCAAGCTCAGAGGTGTCCTGTCTCCTGCCTAGGCGATACCACAACCACTGGAGAACAAGTCCAGCTTCGGTCTCGAGTACGAGTCGAGTAGGCAGTCGTCGGATGGTTTTCATAACCCGTTTTCCTCTGGTTTGTGTGGGGTAGATGGATATCAACCACGGAAAACTCTGCGGCCTGACCCCTGTTCACCCCACGCGGATTCTTTTGGCTTCCCCTCCACGAAATGAGAGGGTATTGACACCGGACACCACGAGAAGGTAGAAATTCATCGTCCTAACTGCTTGACGAGAGCAGTTACCTGGCGTGCTCACCAGGGGCAAGAGATACAGTCGATGGATGGATGGATGGATGATTTCATTTACGCTGACCCCTCGCGAACGATATGCAGCATACAACAACTATATATCAATGTACGTACATGTGTCGTGTACCACTTCTTAAACGAACTTGGAGCCTCGTTGGGGCCTGCCGTGGCCTTATAGAATTGTTCGGACTGTGTTGCATCTCTGCTAAGAAGCGCGAGAATGCGGGCAATGCTGAAGTCAAAAATTTGGACAATGACTTTGTTGCGGATACGGGTTTCTTGCGGATGTGACCAGCTGAGGGTTTCCTTGTCTTGGACTCGAGCTGGAACGGCGATGGTTTGTTGTAAAACCGGCGGTGAAGATCTTCTATTGTGAGTATAGGTCTAGTAGGAGGGACGGGTTCTCGAGTTTTAGGGATTGATCGTGGCGAAGTCGTGGTGGGGTGCTGGAGGACCGAAGCATAGGTTGGCTGATGGCTTAGGGGTAGGGTAGTGATACTTGGTGTTGGGTGGGGAGGCTGAGGAGAGACGGTCGGTGGAGGTAAACGTGATTCGAGGCGGATGGAGTGTATCGGTTGAAGAGGAGTGCGTGTCGGTGGAATCGAGATGTTGTTTTAAGTCACTGGAGATGACCTTCCATATGCAATCTGCTCTATGTAGTTGCTGTATCTCTTGGAAAGGTAGGCGCTGGAAGCTATCTAGGCGTCTAGCTGACTGACACGCAAAGCAGCAAGCCAGGCCGCCAGAGGAGAAAGGTTGGTAGTGAAAGCCATTCTTGGCCAGCTGAAGCGGGGTGACGCCACTGAGCACCTGTCCGCGGAATGACAGAGCTCTGGCCGTGATGGTGGAATAGCTGGTCGAGATAAAGAATTTCTCCTGTGTGGTCCGTTGTGGGGCAGGTAGTTCGGGTGGAGTGGGGGGAGTCGCTGGTTTGGAGATAGAGGACGGTCGGCGGAGAGGTGGGAAAGGCTTCCTGCCTGCCCTGGGATCTGGAGGCTGAGGATTCATCCTTTCCAATCCCTACGACGAAAGTGCTATTGATACCCGAAAGCTACAGTCTTCAAGAGATACAGTCGTTCTCGAAATCGCCTTGACCATTACACACTTAGTCACTCTTTTTCCGACCCACCGCCAGGATCTTAGCGCAGATCAATTATTGAGCGATGCGCATCAAGTTGATGGCGCAATAGAATGCGCCCCGTCTGGGCCGCATGTATTACGGCAACTAACCACGTAAGATTACACGATGCGTACATGCGTACGGAAAAAAATTTCATCGAATTCGGTGGAAACTCATGTAGGTCGCTATACGTACTATTTTTCCTATGCCGGGTGGGGCTTTCCTATCCTAGCTGCCGCCGCTTTTATAGAGGGCGCTCAGAGTCAGGCTCACTGGAGTAAATTTCAGTCCGGGGATCATACTCACTGAGCTGTATCGAAGATTGCTTCTCTAGCTGAATAGAAGTCTTTGGCGTTTTTGGTGTGAATTGGCTAAAACTGCTGCTTGGTCGACTGCTTGGTGGTGTAGGCGTTCGCAGAGAGATATTAAGCTTAGAAAGCAACCTTTCGGCATCGACTGGTACTACGTAGGTATATCAGCACAATTTAATGACTTGTCTTCTTTTTTTTGGCTTTGGTGGGTGTTACCTTAATTAGTTAGTTACGGGGTATGGGTCTGCTGACTAAGACCCAACCCAGCCCACGGGTTGGGTTTTTCATGGGCGGGGCCCACTACTTGCGTCATAGACTCACACTCACTACTTCCAGTTCCGTGCTCTTGGATCATGACTATCTCCCGGTCTACTCTATGCTAATAACTACATCAAATTTGACATTTTGCTCGTCAGATTCAAAAGAAAACTTAATCATGCATTAGTGATCTATGCGATGATGGTCAATGTGATGCAAGGGAAGTTTGCGAAGTCTCATTCGTCAGCGCGGCTCTCGCGTCTAGCATACCGCAGTGCGCCAGTCCCGATCCAAGAACCCACACGGCTCAAAGGTCCAGGATATTTTTTTCTCTCTGTATTTTTATTATATTCTATTACAGAGACAGCCTTTTATCAACCATATTCTGCGGTTTTCGGCTCGTGTTTCTTGCGCATCTTTCCCTTTCACGCCTTGCAGGATGAATCGCGAATACCCATCGGACCAAGCTGAAAACGAATCTGCGCTGTTCAACTACGACTCGAGTGTCCCCTCCCACACACAGCCTACTGAATTCCACTTCACTGAGATCCCCCTCCCTGGCCGTGACGACTTGGCCACCGGCGACCAGCCGAATACTAAGGTCCCTATCCCTCGAAACCCGCAGCCCATTAGCTGGGCGAGCAGCAGTCGAGTCAGTCGGGCCTGCGAAAACTGCCAAGAGCAAAAGGCTAAATGTAGCGGACACCGTCCCGTCTGTCTTCGTTGCAAGGATGCTGGCGTCCGGTGTTCGTATAGCGATCGGAAGAGGGAGAAGATGGCCAAGTGGGTGGCTTCTGATGGAGCAACAGCTCATATCTAACGACTCCTTAGGCAGCTCAGCGATCTTACCGCACAGTTGGAAACCTACAAAACTCTCTTGAAAGACCTCTATCCCAGACTAGACAAGCTGTCGGCCCGCCATGTTGACCAGACTCTTAAGGAGGTGTGTTCCAGTCATCCTCGCCCCTCTATTATTGCCTCCTCACCATCTCATCTTGTCCAGTTTTCAGATCCTTTCACGCCCCACCCTGATCCCGAGGGCACGCCCTTCACCCTCGGGGCTATCGACTACACTGAAGAAGATTTTAACAGAGATGAGAAACTCCAGGCCATGGGGTTTGTGGGCGAGCACTCGGAGGTGGCCTGGTTGTACAGACTTAAACTGGACCTGGACCAAGACACCACGACACCGGTCCGCACCTCTTTCGATCGCCCTTCTATCTCGTCGGTCAACTACTTCCAAGATGAGCTAGAAATCCCTGTCCTCGACGAAATAGACCTTTCGACCCGCCCTCCTCAAAACGTCGCTAGTCAACTCATCAACGGCTACTTTCATTCGGTGCACCCTGCCTTCCCGATCATTGGCATGACCACATTTCTTGGTCAATGTAACTCCTTCTACATGAATCCCAACGTCCGGCCTGGCAAACGATGGTTGGCGGTGTTGAATTTGATATTTGCTATTACAGCGAGACGTTTGCTGCTGATGGGCCATTCGCCCCACGCGGAGGCGGATAGCCATTTGGTATACTTCACGCGGGCGTGGCGCCTCGGCATCGACAATCTAGCGTTGCTTTCACACCCGGACCTACAGCAGGTCCAAGTCGAGGGTTTAACAGCCTTCTATCTTCTGTCCGTCGGACAGGTTAACAGGTCTGGTTTTCTGCTTATTTATTTTTGCGTGAGCTGGTGGCTGACCGATGGGAATCTTTGTGTCTAGGTCATGGAGAATTATTGGTATTGCGATCCGATCAGCCGTGACTATGGGGCTCAACCTCCGTAGCGAGAGCTCTATCATTGATCACCTTTCCAAGGAGATAAGATATCGGGTGTGGTGGGCGCTATTTATGTTGGATACCGTGCTATGCGTGATGACCGGCCGACCGCCCAGCACCATTGAGTCCTTCTGCTCTACGCCTCTCCCGTTGCCGTATACCGAGCAGGAATTCAGCAATGAGCAGATCATGCAGCTTATCACGGATCAAGAAGCCCGGAATGTGTTGATGTCTTCCCTGCTTTCCACGGAGCCCGCGATTGTAGCCAGGGAGAGCCTCGTTAGTCACACCCGTTCCGCACAGTTGGACAGCAAAAGAAAGCAGGTCGAGCGGAAAGCTCAGACTCTTGCCCCAAATGGTTCGCTCTACTTTTTGTACGCCGTGGACTTAGCGTTACTCACCCGCGAGGCCGTGGAAACTCTGTACGCGCCTCGAGCGAAGAGACGATCATGGTTAGAAACTGAAATCAAGATTTCTACCCTTAATAGCAAGGCCGACAGATGGCTTTCTCGTCTTCCGGCGGAATTCCACTTCGTCGAACTCGATACATCGCGGCCTTTTGCTTGGGAGCGTGCCAGTCTAGCCTTTCGCTTCTACACCACCAAGCTAATTATTTCACAGCCCTGTCTTCGCCACCTTGCCAACTTACCCATTGCGACCTTTCCCGGCGCTGTGTGCGATACCATGGCTGCTTTGTGTGTTCAAGTTGCAGGACAGATTCTCGATCTTCTGCCTGATGAGGTAGACACAGCGTGGTTATACGAGATATCCCCGTGGTGGTGTATTCTTCACCACATCATGCAATCCAGCACGATACTTTTGATCGCGCTATTCACGCGAATCCGGCCCATCATAGCCAATGCGGACAAAATGGCAGAGAGGGTAAAGAAAGCCACTCGGTGGCTGAACAAAATGTCAGCCAATGATACCTCCTCTCAGCGAGCTTGGCTCATCTATAAGGATCTTCTCTCGCGCCACGCCTCTAAACTTGGAATAGAAGTTGACCCTGGGCTTTGTCTATGACGATTATTCTAGACATTTTTGTATCTACATTGAAGCTATGTTAAAACACGCTAATTTTGAGAAGAGGTATAAATGGAATCGACGTTTGAAGAACCATGTTGGGGTGGTTACCATTATCATCGTCCATTCCTTCATTACCCCGTCCCTTCGATGTACTCGAATGGCCGGCGGCAACAAAAAGCTTTAGCTTTGGCTTGTGAAATCGGCATTATCATCTAACAACTAACCGAAGGCCATTGTTGTTTCCCGTCCGGGTATTGTCCTGTGGGTCGATATTCATCCTATACTACCTCAGCCTCGCACTCACTACCCGTGATAGTTCTTGAAATACTTCTGGCGTATCTCAATTCAAATATTCCCGGGCCTTTCAATCCTGCTAAACTATAATGTGCAGGTTGGAACGGATGCAATGTGACGCAGCCCCAATAAAACTAATCCCATCAATAGTTCTAGGCATGGATGTTGGTATTAGAGTTCCTGCTGAAGACGAATCAGGCACTGCAATTTTTCAGCTTACCCTTGACTAGAATTCAGAAAGCTTTTATCGCCTAAAACCAGGCTTTTTTCTTTTTTTTGCTTTCATGCTTTCTTTTCGAAATTCAGCCTTGCACATATATGTCTTAGACAGAGTGTTTCTAGGGATGGCATTTTCGATGAGAAATTTTCTCTCCCGGGATGCGAATCACAAGTCTTAGAATATGGATGTTAAGCGGATGGCAGTTTTCAAAGAGCTCTTTGAAAGTTAAACGGCCAACTACGTTTCCATGGTTGTAAAGATGATATACCATATCGACCAAAGAGGTGACGTATGCGATCCGTCAGCTTGATAGATGGTATATCGAGCGGAAAGATTAAAATTCCGGCACTACACCGCAAATACACTGACCGCACTGAGCTCAAGTCCGCGGGAACTGGCGTCGCTGATCTTCGCCATGTCTACACTCCCTATATCTATGGCGATGCCCCTGAGGGACCGACGTCTCACGACGCATGCAGACTCAGAACAGCATCATCAGTTTGAGGCGATAGTTCGAGACATTGTGATTGGCTTTGCCGATGGAATGACTGTCCCCTTTGCCCTGACAGCTGGCCTATCCAGCTTGGGCTCCTCGAAATTGGTCATCATTGGAGGTCTAGCAGAACTATTCAGTGGGTCGATATCAATGGGCTTGGGTGCGTATCTTGCTGCCATCACTGATAGGGATCGTTACAAAAGCGAAGAGGCGAGAGAGCGTGAAGAGATTTCCTCACAGCCAACCGCCGAACAAGAGGAGATTCACGCAATACTCTTTCAGTACGGTATCTCCAGAGAAGCAAGTCAAGCCGTCGCTGACTGTTTGGCTGATAACAACGAACACTGGATTCGGGTATGTTTTTACCACCGTCAATCAAAGGACTTGCGCCCACCGAAATACACAGTTCATGATGGATTTTGAACTGAGACTTGAGAAACCAAGTCGTTCTCGAGCATGGATCTCAGCAGCAACGATGGGATTCGCCTACTTTATCGGTGTGTCCTAGCCCATTTTTCCGGTCCATATCTGCTCCAGGCTGCCACTAACTCGAAAGGACTTAATCATAGGAGGTCTGCTTCCCATGATTCCATATTTCGCTATACATAACGTACTCCACGCGCTCTTTGTCTCAATAGGAATCACAGTGGTCACCCTATTCAGCTTCGGCTTTATCAAAAATTTCGTCGTCATCAAGACTAAACGTGCCGGACTCTACGGAGCAGCCCAGACCTTAATTGTTGGCACTATTGCTGCCGCTACTAGTTACGGGATCGTTTATGGAATTGACCACAGCAACATACACACCTAGCATCTAAATATAGTCTTTTGGGGGAATATGACTACCATTCTAGTAGCTTGAACAGCGAAGGAATCGAATACATTAACAGCGGCGTACTTGAAACCAGACTCGCGCGGTACGTCCGGGGCCGGCACCTAGTGTTTTTGATTATGGCGTTGTTTCTAGCGCATTTCACCTTTCGATTTTCAGCTTAGGGGCTGAATAGCGCTTTCTTGATCGGTTAAACCTGGTCACATGGTACTATCATGCCATTTATATCATCAGATCATACCAAAGCGCAGTAAATTTGAATCAGGGGTTTTCATCCTTCTATCACTGGACAACGATCAAACAAGAAAATCCACACGTTCTTTGAGCATTGTTTTATCTGACCATTATTCCTCCTGACAGAGTCCTCGGCCAGCCTCACATTTCTTAATCCTGACAAATTAGAACACTGACAAATGGATTTTACCTGCTTTCACCCGTTGTGTTGTCAATGAAATTATCAACAAATCTGGAGTTTTTTCACATGCACCAGACCTACAATAACCTATGTTACTAGCGGCTGTGATTCTGTCCTCCTCTTATAGTGGCAAAGTCCTAGAAATCCTCCGACTTCAGCAAAAGTCTCATGGTTTCTTGTAGGCGGTATCTGAAGAGTTGCATCCATTGCTCTAATATGGGACGTTTGCCTACAAAACTTAGTATAGGGAGACCTTAATCCAGCCCCTTAGATAAAATGCATTGTTCCAAAACCGTGGGATTTGCCCTGCAAGCTTGAATCAATTCAAGAGCCACATGTGTGACTTTCACGACAAATGAGTGTGTAGCTGGATGCATATTTTAGTGCTTGTCCGTCTCAGACCTTTTTCGGCCACGGCAAATAGGACAAGAAACCAAAATCATTTGCACTTTGGTTTGTTTAGGCCATTCTATACCCTAGGAATATTTGGCTAGGGATTATACCAAATTCGATTTTGAACTCAAACCGAAATCTACTGCGAAGATGATAATGGAATGTCGCCCAATGGTGCTTTGGAAAACTCTATCAACCTGTGCGAGGATATCAATTCCAAGGCATCTAGAAAGGCCACACGCACAATAAAAAAACTTCAAAGAAAACAAAGTTGAAACGCATTACATTAAACTATCATAATGTGATTGAAAACAGAGCAAGAGGCGTCTTTCACCCCCGGCAGTGATGTGATGATGACCTGACACGCCCGCATGGCTTCCAACCTCCATCAGGCTTTTGGATGGACCGCTCAGATCCCGCAAGCCTTCATATTCAGTATCTTTTCGTCAGATAATAAAAGTGATGTCGGTACAGCAGAGCCAGGCTGTGCTTCGGAAAAATCCGGTCGTCTCATCATTCAATTTTGATTTTGCACACGGAAGTCACCGGGTCGCGCTTTTTAAACGTAGCGACCGCGTAAGAACGTATCAGTGAGTGCTGTGAGGTCACAGTGGATTAGTTTGATTGGAACTAGCTACTTGTGGTGTCCATGAATGCCCACAGCGATGCTCACTTCCCTCAAGGCATCATCTCGCTCCCATCGCGGGAAGCATAGAGCCCCATGAATCACCAGTGAAAGCTGCATGGCGCGAACTCAATGAAGAGGCTACTTTAACGCAACAAAATGTGGCCCTTATACGCCAAGGGAAACCATATTCTTTTAGTGATCAATCAGTCGGGCGGCAATAGACTATTTACCCATTCGCCTTTCTACTCAGAAGCGTCAATGACGGGGGCATGGGAGAGAAAGCAATCCAAACAGGCTGGGAATATGAAGAGTGGGGGTGGTATGATCCAGCAGAAGTAAAGGATGCTGGTCATTTGAGGTGTCCCACGACCCGCAGAGAGTTTGCGACGAGTCTGGTTTGAAGCAGACATGAATGCTGCGGCAAGCGGGGCCCTGGAGTCCGGACTGAAGCAATTGAGGATCGACCATCGAATTGGCTCTCATGAGTTGACACCCATCGCATTAACCGCATTTAGAGAGGTCCTGATTCATCTGCGTTGTGACGCAAGCTGGTGGGAAACCGCTCGGATGGCTGCATGGCAACTATGGAAGAATAGACGGGAGAGCATGGGAGCTGCGACTCTGAATGAATTTTTGGGAGCGCTTGCAGATATAGAGACTACAGCCAGTGAAAGTCTTGAATCTGGGCTTGTGTGGGATCGTATATTGGCCGTGGTCGACCATCACCTCGAAAATCGTCGGTCGATGCCTTCGCCCATCAAAAAGACCTTTGCAATTTATCTTCAGATAGAGTTCGTTCCGACTGCACAGTCACGCTTTCATCAAACTCTCACCATCATTACGCTCTCTGCCAGCTCCACGATTCGGGATAGCGCCGAGTATCATACACTATCGCGAGACTCTGTACTCTACCTCGCAAACATCCCATTTAGAGCGCGCTCCTCCAAGCCTAGAGACGGAGGGATAATTTCGGAAACAACCCCCGGTTCCCACTAGCGAAGATGTAAAGACCATAGACTTGTAAAGATTAGATAAACTGGAGACGATTATCCTTAGCCCGCCGGTGCCGTGGCGAGCCGGACCCTTTACGGAGATTAAGGTTGGATCGGATTGAGAAACGACCGTGGAACGAGCCGAAACCGCACGATCTATATCGGATATTGTTAAATACTCGGATGCCTCTAGGCGCGAGGATTATATAGGAGCGGCCGTAGTGGCACTCGACGACAACCTATAGGTTATCCAATCACAGTAGGACTAGGTGGGACCAATGGACCGATGGTCGGTTTACGTAGCGGAGCTCATTAGCATCTTCTACGCTATCAGCACGGTGTTCAAGATCGCCTATGCGCGAGTAAGCTTAGATCGTAGATAAAAACCAGCAACGATCCTATACGACTGTAGATCAGCCCTATAGGCAACTCAGAACCCAAGGAACTCCAAACAGATCGGGCCAGCGGTTCTTGCACGCGATCCTACAAGCTACCACAGAGGTCTAAGCCGAGAGAATTGCTCTCCGTCTCCAGTGGGTGCCAGGGCACTGCAATAACCCTAGAAATAACGCTGCGGATAGACTAGCTAAAGACGCCGCGTACCCAGGCAAATCTCACTCGCTCTACCTGCTACTCTCGAGGGAGAGTGCACGCCTGCGTGTCAATACCCTCAGTCAGTAGGAGCAGGAATGGAGATCATTCAACAAAGGTGTTCACCTACGGAAAATCGACGGAACTCTACTAGCAACCTACACGAGGAGGCTACATGGGAGCCCGCCCAGGAATCGGGCGTACCTATTCACGCAGCTACATATAGGCCACAATTAGTTATCTACCTACGCCAAGAGTTTTGGCTTCCGTGACGACGACCACTGCGTGTGCGGTGCATAAGGAACTGTTATACATATGCTAGTGGACTATCCATCCTTAAGGGATATTCGAAGGGAGTTACGAAGGGAAGTAGGGGACGCGTTCAGAAGCGTCTCGAGCCTGCGAGGAGGCTCAACTGAAGGTTAAGAAAGTTAAACGAGACACCGTCTCAGGGGCGAAGACGGTTAAGGCCGTTTTGGACTTCGCCGAGGCGTCACAGCTATTTTGGAGTCGCGCGCCACGAGGGCAGCCTAACAATGGGAACGGCAGTTAGGCCACGGCAGGCCGTGACGAGACTCTAAGTTCGTTTTTTTCAGGAAGTGGAACACCCTACCGTACATGTATGTACGCGGATATATATAGTATTAGTATGCTGCATATCGCTTTCAAGCGAGGGGTCGGCGTAAATGACATAAACCAACCAACCAAACCGGCTGTAGTAAAGAGGAATTCGAAAACTGCTGTAGTCTATGGTCTATAATAAGCTATAAAACTGTACCTTAGGGCTGTACCTTAGGTAGGGGAGTTGAAAGGAAAGGATGAACCCTCAGCCTCCAGAACCTAGAGTTGGCAGGAAGCCTTTCCCACCTTTCCGCCGACCATCCTCTATCTCTCAACCCGCGACTGGCCCTACTCCACCAGAGCTATCTAGCCCACAACGCACCACTCAAGAGAAATTCTTCATCTCAACCACCTGTTCCACCATCGCGGCCAGAGCTTTATTATTCCAAGGACAAATTCTCAGCGGCGTCACCCCGCTATAGCTGGCCAAGAATGGCTTTCACTACCGGCCTTTCTCAAGTGGCGGCCTAGCTTGCTGCTTTGCATGTCAGTCTGCCAAACGCCTAGTGTTGTAAATACAAAAGGAAGCTTAATTCTTCTTCTTGAGGAAGTACATAAGGCTATATATACAGCATGGAGTCTAAGTTGATTGGAAATCAACTTGGTTCTTCCTATACATAGAGCAGGAATTATTTCCGATGTTGCGGCTTCATTCCTGAGCAGCAAGTACCAGGTATCATAACATTCCCCCTCAGGATCGCCTTGCTAGCGAGGCGATACTGAATATATACACATCGGTCAGGCCTCGGTAAAACCACTCAAAACCTCGAAGAGGAGAAATAGTGGAAAGAGCGCTATCCCTGTTACACATCTTCCTTCATGTGTTCTTCAGTGCAGATTCCCAAAAGCTTGCAGAACTTAATAAATGGAGAAGGCCCTAAAGGCTTGGTGAGTCTATTAGCTGCTTGTTCCTCGGTTAGAATATATTCGAGACTAATCTCTCCTGAATTCAGAATAGCTCGCTAGTAATGGAACTTCACGTTGAAATGCTTCGTCCGTTTGTGAAACTCAGGATTACGGGAGAGAGTAATGGCGGATTGGTTATCAGCCATGATGTTGGTCACCGGCGATCGAAACAGGTCGGTCTCTGCCAGGAACGTGCGGAGCTATTATAGGTGAAGGATAGCATTATATTAGCCAATATACTCGGCGTGAGTCGTGGACGTCGCTACTTCCCCCTGTCTTTTGGACGACCAGGAAACTAGTGCTCCCGTAAGTTTAAACACATAGCCGGACGTGGAGTATATACTATTAGTGACGACCGAGCCACTAAAGTCGGCATCGGTGTATCCGATTAACTACCCGCTGCGGTATATGATGCGATAGAATTAAGTGGCCTTAACATAGCGTAGTAGTCTCTGCAGTGCGGCTTGATGATACGACTACGGTCGGGATATAAAAAGACTCAACGTCCTAAGCGCAAACGCGATATTAGGGCGCGTACCGACCATAAGATATATCAGTGACCCGATTGCGGTCCCGAACCGAGCCTTCGTATCTTTATCTAGGTCGCTCCCGTCGGGAACGTTATTTAGGAGAACTTTCGGAGCCATCGGTGTAGACTTCGGTTGACAGGTCTCTATGTAAAAGTCAGAGAGGACCTTTTGGATGTATTAATATTAGTGAATCGAAATCGATCCGTCCGCGTGGAAGTCAAACTAAATTCCTAGGAATAAACGCGGCTTTCCTAGATCGTTTAGTTTGAACTCCGATTCTAAGGCCCTTCGAAGCTACTAGATCTCGGCGTCGTCCGCGGCTACGACTAGAAAGTCGTTAACGTACACGCAGACGACATAGTTAGGCTTATAGAAGACATAATTATCGGATTAGGCCATAGTAAATCCGTGAGCCACCAGGACACGGTGGACGCATTAGTACTAAATCCGTGGTGCCTACTTTAGTCCGTATAAGGAGCGTCGAAGGCGGCAAACGTATCCGTCTTCCTTAAAGCCCTCGGGTAGCTCTATATAGATTAACGAGTCGACATCACCGTGGAGGAAGGCAGTAACGGCATCGAATTAGTGGAGTTTCTATCCACGTAGCACGGCACTCGTAACGATACTACGGACCGAATCCATTCGGGACACGGCCGCGAACGTTTCGTGATAGTCGATGCCATATTTCTGTCGGTAGCCTTTGATCACTAATCGCGCTTTCCTAATTCTATTAGTCTTCGTCTTGAATACCCACTTATAGCTAATAATCCGATCCCCGGGGGGAACTTCATTTCGTGGAACTTTCTCCTATATGCCATGCTCGAGAAGAGAAGCGTATTCTTTCTGGATCGTAGCCCACTATTCTAGCTAATTAGGTCCTAACACAGCTTCGTGGAAGGTTAGAGGATCCACGTCTTTTACGATAGTTACATTCGATGTCCCTATCGTATACACCTTACCTAGAGACTCTAAGAGACGCCTAGAAGGTCTTCGTCTTCGGCTATATAAAGAATAACCAAGGTCCTGTGTGGCCTCTGTTTCGTGCTGGATTAGATTAACTAGTAAGGGAACATCAACCGGTTCAGAATCAGACGGCACGTTATTAACTCGCTTATAAGGAGTAGCGTTCTCTAGTTTATCAGGAGATGGCGGCGGCGTAGGTAGCCCACCAGATAGAGGTAGCATTAGTTCAGGAAAGATAGGTAATAGAGGAGCGTTGTCCGGGAGGTCGTTACCTATTTCCCCCTGGATAAGTGGCACCATAGGGGTCCTTTTATCGAACTCGACATCACGGGAAAAGATAGTCCTTCCAGAGTGTACTTTATAAAGCTTATACTGATTAGGTTCGTAGTACCCGAGCAGTCGGCACTCAGACGATCGTGGTCCGATCTTCGCCCGATGCTCTTTAGGGATTAATACCCATACGCGGGAGCCGATCCGTTATAGATATAATAGCTTAGGTAGCTTCCCGTAGATAACTTCATACGGTGTCTTCTTCTATAAGATTAATACTAGCGCGCGTAGCTTAAGATAGACTACCGTGTCTAAGAGCTCGGTCTACTAGGAAGGAGGAAGTTTCGCATCGGATAGGAGCGTGTTAATCCGCTCCCGGATAGTACGATTCGTGCGTTCCGCTAGCCCGTTCTGCCCTTTGTAGTATAGCGGCGACGTGTCAAACTTAACTCCCTAGGACTCGAGGTATATTCCGATTGGTAAGTATTCTCTCCTATTATCGGTAAGGAACCTTTTAATCTAGGCGCCGAACTGTCGGTGTACCTAGGCCTCGAATTGTCGAAACTTCTGTAGCGCTTCATATTTCTATCTTATAGTATAGGTAGACCTCGGCAGAGTCCGTCCATGGACACCCTTTAGGTGTCCATGACCCGTCCATGGGCACCCCTTCAATGTCCAAAGTCCAACTACGCTAAGTCCCGCCCAGTCCAGCCCGCATACGCTAAGTACCAAACCTGCCTAAACCCGCCCACTCTTGCACAAAATCGGGCATAAAATCCATGATTTAGCAGAATAAAAAACTGTTATTTACCTTCGTTCCAGTCACTACATAACCAGACGAGAGGAAAACTATCTTGCTAAAGGAAATATAATGAAATTATGATGTATTCTTGATAATTCTTACGAGAAAGTTCTAACAGACTCACAAAACTAGTCCCATTACTATATAAGTTAGTAGGTTTTGAACAAGAATGCTATTTTAACAGAGTTAAACTTAAAAATATATATTTTATATTGACAACCTCACTCTGACTTCTTCCAGTAGCCACTTCTCCTATAATTATAGTATTCTTAATAATTACCTTTTTATTTCCCTGCAAAATATTACATCAAGTCTTAAATTTAACTAGGAAATTATAAAAATTATATTATCTCATAATAAAAGTTCGAGTAAATATCGTTTATCTTACCTCTACTGTTCTTTTTGTCATTCCGTCGATTAGTGCCTGAGGCTCATAGCTAGAGGATAGAAGGGTGAAATTTTTTTGGATAAGGGAACTTACTCCTGGGGGATTGGACTTAAACAAATTTTTAGGATTAATGGGCAGTTTTGGACATGTCTAACCTTGCCTATCTGGAAATATGCATATTATAGCTAATTAGAACGCCCGGATTCCTAGCTGGATTCACCTGATTACGATATATTACTCGCTATCCGTGAGATCTATGTCCCTATCCGACGCGTAAACAGACACTCGGTCGTAACTCGCGATACCTTATTCTCTATTAATTCTCTTCTTCGTATATTATTCCTACCCTTCTCTTCCTATACGATTAATATTAGCTATTCTCTTAGCTATTATCCGAAATAACATCCTAATCCTAGGGATATTCCTTATCTTTCTATAGAGATCTAATTAATCCTGCCCTAGATCTAGACCTTCTTAGTAGTTAACTAATAGCCCCTACATTAATTTCTCTGACTAAATATTAGTAATTACCTCGGCCATCCTCCTGTATAGAGATTATTAAAGACTAGGTCCTCTATACCGAAATGAATAAAGACGACTTTGTTAAGTGGTGGCTTATAATATCCTATGGAAGCGAGCTTTCTGAGAAGAATAGACAGTTCTTTAATATAAGGAAACGCCATTCAGATAGGTGGAAATCGTTCTATTAAGTTACGCATACCCAGACCGGGGATCCACGTATATTGTGTAAGGAGTGTGGCTAGTTCCTTAACCATCCAAATCGTAAAGGGCATAGGACGACGCTAATGACACGATATTTAAAAGGGACTAAGTGCTAGAAGCTTACTATATAGGCTACTAAGACTAGTAGTCTTAAAGAGCTATTTAAGCGATAAGTGAGTCCTTTAGTCTAGTTTAGTTTCTTCTACTAATATACATATTAGGGATAACTCTACCCTCCCTCCCAGCGGTCGGCATTAGTACTATTCGATGAGAAGGCTTAGATAGAAGATCTATTAGATTTTATTACTGGTCTTCGACTGCTATATCTTACTATAGAGAATCCTCTTTTCCGGAAGCTTCTTTAGCGGGCGTAAGTATCACCGAGGCCTCTTTAATTCCTATCAGCAAGAACAGTTCACCGGTAAATATACTAGACTAGGCAAGAAAAATAGTAATCGATCTTAAAATAACTACCTAAAGGAGCTAAGCTTTTAATTATACTTAATTGCTAGATATCACCATTCTCCTAGGCTTTTATAGCCATTACTAGTTATTTTATTGATCTAAACTAGGACTATAGAGAGTTCCTACTAGGTTTTAAACCTCTAGAAGGTACTTATTCTAGGGAAAATCTAAGCTTAGTTCTTCTGAAACGGCTTAAGGACTATAATATTACGCATCGAATCTTGGCAATGACCACTGACAATGCTTCGAACAACCAAACCTTGATAGATAGTCTGAATTCTGAGATTAAAACCCTAGCGGAGGTAACCGGTGCACTAGTCGTCTGAGTTCTATGTATTATATATATAATTCAATTAAGTCTTAAGGGTCTTCTGGTCTATATAAAGCTAGAGCTAAGTAATGAGTCTATAGAGAGGGAGTTTAAACCCCGTCCGGCCGGTGGGAATAAGGATATTCTCTCGACACTTAATAAGGTATGTTCTCCCTAGCTGTTTAATACCTAGACTACTTATATAGCTATAAGGTCCGGGCCTTTATAGTCTTTATTAATACTAGTCCTTAACGCCGTGACGCATTTTTAAAGTTTTAATCAGAGGATACAGCCCTAGTCCTAATCTAAGATATAAAGACTCGCTAGAATTTAATATTTCTAATTCTTCGCCGTGCAAAACGTATCCGATCTGCTTATAATCTTTTCTATACTAAGAATAGATACGATTATCTTCTCTTAGATCGAGAGGAGTGGCGCTAGATTAATTACCTTCTTTGTATTACCTAGCCGTTCTACAACTTCACTACCACCCTCTATTAAACTAAAGACGTTACTATCCACAATATCTTCTAGATCTATAATGCTCTATTTAAACATCTTAAGAGGTTATTAACCTAGCTCGGACGGAAAAAAGTGAGCTAGAAACAAGCAATGCGGTAAGCTCTTGAGGCAGGAAAGCAGAAGCTATCGGACTACTATGGAAGGACGACATAAGCCCACAGTTATCTCTATGTAATCGGCACAATCCTTGCCCTATCGCATAAGCTTAATTACTTCTCTCGACCTGAATGGTCTGAAAATGGATATGAATAGCGTAAGAGATACCGGACTAGTTTCTATGACTATATCCGACCGTACTAAGTTCGAGTATCGAAGCGTCCTTATTCACTAACTTATTTAACTATGCCTAGAACAAGCTCGAAACTTTCGGTAATACTAGACTAGGATAAGGGTAAGAGTGAGGAAGACGAGATTAAGAGATATCTTAAGAGTGGTTAGTCTTATTCTAATACTTTTTTAACCCTGCTAATGTTAGAATACCTTAGGTATAATAAAAGAGGACCCGCTTAAGTTCTAGAGGAAGTAAGAGTTATCCCTACTAGCACTCGTAACTACGGTACGCGATATTCTCTTTATCCTAGCAACCGGTATAGGTATAGAGCGTCTCTTTAACTCTACACGGGATATCTATCACTATCGTCGTGGATCACTGAAGCCGATAAGTATTTAGGATCTAATGATGTATATATGCTCTACTAAGTTTGAACTCACTGATCTTTACCTAGAGGGCATGAAGCAGGATAGGACGAGAAATGAGCAGGAGGCTGAGGATGAAGAATTAAATACTGATCGGGAAGAGAATTATGTAGATAGGATTAGTGATACTAAAGAGGAAGAATCTGTGTCTACTCTAAGTAATACTCGGCTGACTGTTAAGGAATCTAGCTAGTAGGTGCCCTCACTGAGTGCTCGAGTTAGAAGGGAAGATGAAACTAGTGATAGAAGTGATAATAATGATGATGATGATGATGATGATGTAGTTCTTCCATTACCAGAGGGGACTGGCCGAAAGCGTACATCAGGGAGGATAATTAGACCTTCTAAGCGGCTCAGGGAGTTAGAATAAATGGAAATTATTACGTTTCGGAATTCATGTCACTCTAAACTAATATAATCTAGATTTTTTGTAACCAAAATACCTTAAAATACTCTAAATTACTGCATAACTCTATACATCTTACCACTACCCCGCGTGGGCGGGTTTGGACGGGCAGGTTTGGACAGTGGGCGGACACCCCCTTAACCTGCCCGCCCATGGATAGTCTATGGGGTACCCAAACCCGTCCACGGACGGGTTTGGACGGCTTTGGACATGGGCGGGTTTGGACTCTGCCGAGGTCTAAGTATAGGCCTAGGAGCCGCGCGAATAATCGTTAGTAAAGGTAATCACGTACCTAGAGCTATCTTTAGTAACTAGCATTTCTATAATATCCGAATGGATCATTTTAAAGATTCTTGACGAGTGTAGACGTGGCCGTCTTACACGGGAGTTCCTCTTCTGATGCTACTTACCCGATATATACGCTAGACACTATAGCGTTACTAGCAGTTCGCTATGCGTTAGCGGTCGGTACGGAGTGCCGGTCTGCCGGAGGACCACCCTTAAGTCACCCCGGTTCAGATATCCTATCTAAGCGTGCCATAATGCTTCGGAGGCCTAGTTCACTCCTATGCACGTATCTTCTTCGAGTATCCGAGCTTTACTACCGAGTTTAGAGATTAGCGATGCGTATCCTACGCCACTTAACTCCTAAGGATCGTCGATATCCATAACCACCGCCTACGGTTCTAGGGGATCTGTATACCCACGGTTTATCGGCGCCCTCGCTAGTTAGACTCGCTCTCGGGATCTTAGGCTCACATAGCACCGTAGGATCAACAGATCCTCCTCCGCATAGTAGGCGGTCCCCATAGTTCGTCCTCGGCGCTATATAAAGACGTTCTGTGGGTGCGCCACCACCGAGTAGCGGTCGCGTAATAGCTTCGGCACGCTAATCAGGTTTATCCCGATACGTGGCGCGAAATACACGTTCTTCAACACTAGGGGGTGGCTAGACTTCCCCCGGAGCGTGAGCTTCACCGTACTAATCCCTTCGGCTTCTACTAGATCGCCCGCCGTGTCTAACATCTCACGGTACGGCCGCAAGCTAACAAAGTAGCTCCGATCCTAATAGATATAGCTAGTAGCGGCCGAATCTAGGATCCACCGAGAGGAGGAAGCCGGCGCGTGGGTATAAAGGGTCGTCACCCTCGCCCTCATAATATTGATCCGCGGTCTCTTAGAAGTCGGCGGGCCCTGCCGTTCTTCCCTCTAGCTTACTGGTATAGTTTGCAAATTATGTCTTAGTGAGCCAGAAACACTCCTTTCCGTCTTTAGGGCATAGTCCCTTAGTGGTTACTGTTCGCGCTGTTTCTTCTAGCAGTCCACGGCTATATAGCCGCGCTTCTTATAGTAGGTACATTTCTTTACGGTCTTCTGCACCGTATTAATAGAGGCGTTATTTAAGGGGAAGGCTGGGGGCACCACCTCAAAAGGCTGGCGGCACCACCTGGGGCCTGATTTCGGCCTGATTACTACCAAGCCTTTCACGCCTGTTAATTACGAATTTAACCACCCCCTTCCTTCTTACATACACGCATCCTTTCTACCTTCTCTTCTATCTTCTACTACCACTAGGCCTATCACATGACCCACACACTAATTCAATTTAAACCCTTCTATCTAATACTGCCAATTCACCCTTTACTAGTTAACGTAATTCCCGCCCGTCCCGAACACCCGCCCGTTCCGAACACCCTTTTCAAAATCGCGTCCCCCTACCCATCTACCTAATTCAACCACCTACCATGACACCAATACGCCCTGAATCTAGGCAGAAATTAGCCAATCAAGAGGGCAAGATCTTATTAGCCCTTAGTGATCTTCAAAATGGCCGAATCAAATCTCTACGCGCAGCAGCGAAGCTATACGAAATTCCGCTTACTACCCTACACGACCGCGTACACGGCCAATTATCTCGCGTTGATTCTCGTCCATCAGGCCATAAACTGACCCAATTGGAAGAGGATTCGCTTGTTGAATGGATAATCTCTATGGATTCACGTGGAGCAGCGCCTAGACCAGCAACTGTGGGAGAAATGGCTAATATCCTACTGGCTGCGCGTGGTAACCAGCTACCAACTACCGTTGGTAAGAATTGGCCATCTACCTTCATTAACCGCCGCCCTGAGCTTCGCACACGCTTCTCGCGAAGATACGATTACCAAAGAGCCCTAAACGAAGACCCGAAATCAATTCGGCAGTGGTTCGCGACCGTACAAAGCGTGATTAACGAGAACGGTATACAACCAGAGGATATCTACAACTTTGATGAGACAGGCTTTGCAATGGGCCTTATATCGTCGCAGAAAGTAGTCACAAGGGCTGAATACTACGGTCGGAGATCTCTTCTATAACCGGGAAATCGCGAATGGGTTACTGCGATCGAAGCAATCTGCTCAGATAGCTATTCGCTACCGCCATGTATTATCTTCAAAGGCAAAGTAGCTATTAAAGGATGGTTTAACGAAAACCTACCGAAAGACTGGCGAATCGAGGTCTCAAAGAATGGCTGGACTACCGATGAGATTGGTTTACGCTGGTTACAAAAGCACTTTATCCCACATACAAATTCGCGTGTACGTGGGCGATTTCGACTATTGATTCTTGATGGCCATGGTAGCCATCTCACACCCCAATTCGACCAAATCTGCACAGAAAACGACATTATACCTCTTTGTATGCCTGCGCATTCATCGCATCTACTACAACCACTAGATGTTGGGTGTTTTGCAGTGGTTAAGCGCGCGTACGGTCGCTTCGTTAGCGATCTTGCGCGCAGAGGATATAACCATATCGACAAGCACGATTTCTTAGTGGATTACCAGCACGCGCGGCTAGAAACGTTCCAATCAACCAATCCCACTATCAAAAACAGCTTCGTAGCTAGTGGTCTAGTACCATTAGATACCGAGAGAGTGCTTAACAAGCTTAATATCTCTCTACGAACACCGACACCACCAAGTAGCCGTCTAAGCAGCAGATCTAGCGAATTCACACCACAAACGCCTAGAACCGCCGCTTAGCTATTCAAGAAAGCTTCTATGTTAAAAGATCTACTAAAGCGGCGGTCAAATAGCCCTCCGAGCCCATCGAAAGTGATCTTAGACTAGATGATTAAGGGGTTCTAGCTAGCGCTATATAGCGGTGCTTTACTAGCAGAGGATAATACGAATCTGCGTATAGCGAGTGAGAAGATGGTCAAAAAGCGTAATCGGTTAACTAGGAGGATACCCTGCGCAGAGGGTTTAACTATTGAAGAGGCTATACAGCTAGCTGAGCAGCTAAACCAGCCAGAGGAAGATGACGGGGTAGATTCGTATGCAGAGGTCGAATTGCCTAGTCAGCCAACTAGGCCAGCAGCTAGGGCTCCGCCTAGGTGTAGTGGGTGCAGGGAGATTGGTCACAGGATTAATGTATGTAAAAATCGCTATATCTAGTTAAATCAATAGGAGTTGGTTGAGATAATCGATTTTGAAGTAGTGTAATGGGGTAAGGTGTTCGGAACGGGCGGGTGTTCGGGACGGGCGGGAATTACGTTACCGAATCGATACTTAGTAATCTGCCTTGCCCTTCTCTTCAATTCCTTCTCTGCTGTCACCAATTTCTTAGCCTTGTAACCGCGGCCAGCCCCACGCCCTTGCCGAAGTTTCGTCTCCCAGTTTGATGGTATTCGCCTTGTCGATGTGTTGGTTCTCTTTGAAGGCGGTGGTACCACAATTCCTATGGTTTTATCCATAGAAATGTAAGTACTTTTCCTTCGCTCAAGCCTATAATCCCGACCGGTGAAATTCCTCCCCCCATCTTCGCCAACGCTTCACAGTCTCTAGCAACTTCGGCCGTCCAACCCCCTTTACCCGATTCGGTTCATTGATTCGAAGCCTTCCTACCCTTCCTACCCTTCTAATTCGCTGCCGATTAGTCTGAATTAGATTCGGCAGGCGAAGCCAGTGTTGTTAGTTAAAATGGGATAGGAGAAGGGATTTACCACTATCTTTTAGGTCTTTGATCACATGATTGCATAGGAGACCAAGAGATTTTATGTGGTATTGGGTGCAAGAGGGTAGTGGCTTCTACTTCTCTGATCGAAGGTATTCCTGCCAAGTGTTATAAACCCTTCGGATTGCGTTTCTTGAGATCTGATTAAGGATATTGCGGAAAAGTGGGACTTGAAGATCGACGGGGTGACGATAAATTTCGTCTTGAATTGAGTTAAACGCCTGCAAATTTGTATAGGAAACGACTCGAGAGACGACTTGCATAGTTGCAAGGATATCGCTAGTTGAGCTTCGGAGTTCCTTCTTGATCTGATGATGCGCACCTTCCACGCGAGAGGAAGTAAGCTTATTATAATGGAGAATTCCGGTGAGATAGCAGCGCATAAATCGCTTTGCCCTATCACCAAACCACTGCTTTTCGATATAATCGATTGCTGATTGGTAGATCGGATCGCTAAGGGCTTCTATAAATGAGGCTTTTCTTGCTTCTATCCCATCTTCGGTAGGCTCGAGGATAATTTGCATAAATTTAGCCTTCACAGATCGCCATTCGTCAATAGTCTTCTGTTGACC